TACTGGATCTTCCCTTGATTGAATTTCGAGCAAATTAGCCTTACAAGATAATTAATAAAGTGATTATTTGTAAATTATTATTCACAACATCTCGAGTGTTTTTCTTCACGAGATTATACATTGAAATGCCGAAAAGCCATTTTTCCTATGCATAAAGCCTATGACATGTACTTGTGGTTATTAGTCGCGCCTTTATTTTATAAAAAATAACGTAAGCATAGAGAGCGTAAATTGTGCTCCCATTGTGTCTAATGGTCAGCTTGATGTCTTTTTATTCTTATTAAAGTGCGCATTGCCCTAGTTGGCGGTAAATTCTTTTTGAAATTACACAAAATTGCAGCTTTAGAAGTGCAGTCAAATTAAATTATCGTCACGTTATGGCGGAATGTTCTGGCGATCATGCTGGAAATGATGAAGTCGAGGTAAGACCTTGCTGGTCGTAGTGGTAGAGAACTTCGGTAAAAAGAGAACTTAAAACCTATGGTCTGGACAGAGTTAAAAGAAGTCCTTCGGTCCTATTCTACTTTACCGGATTCAGAATCTGATATTTTTGGATTTCACTTTATCCAGTGACCGTGCATATTCGGCACCCCCATCGTTAGGTATAAATGGAGCCTGACCGGAATAGCGCCATTACTCAATGGCTTTTTTTTTTCAAAAGTTGAAGCAAGTTATAATGTAAAACAATTATTTGCACTTATTGGTTTTAAACTCATTACCAAGATTTCTAAAACCTTCTTAGATTTCCTCTAAATTCAGGCTTTTTGTTGGCTTCAAAAATGGAAAACTGGTTTTATTTTTCTCATTTACAGCCTTTGCAAATAATACAATCGAGATTTGATGAGATCCGGGCGTATAACTCCTCTTTCGTGGTTGTTTTTCCACATCTTGACACAGTGATTACCGTGGATGTTGCCAACGAAATCACAGATATTTGTGCCACCCACAATTATGTGGTCGTTGCCACTCAAGAGCACATCTACATCGCCCACAAGGATGATTTAGAGGTCTATTTTCTATGCCTTAGAACATTCGATGGACTCATTCTATTAGAAATCCAATTTTGTAGCTATTTTTAATCAAGCATTCTTTTAGAATCCACTAAAGTGTTCTTATGAGCTGAAAGGTCAATTGAACCTGGAGTTTGAGGGAGGTTCTTGGCGCTCGATAGAAGAAGAATCAAATAAACGATCTACATTTACGCATGGTTGGTCGAAAAATAACAAGAAGCAAATGTCTGATGTTATTCTGACGTCAACTTTGTCTACTATATACTTTGTGTATACGGTAGGATGTGTGAGTACGGTAGTAAGGTTAGTCAATGATTGTACATTATGAATATTATATATATTGTGTGCTTCTAGACTTTTCAACGAGTACAGTTACGCAGACTCCAAAATTGTGAGACCCGTTGTCGTTCAGATTCCCGAAGATATTAGGATTGTCATGGTAAATTAACCTACACTCTTGGAAAAAATATGAGCTTGCCCACGTGTCAAACCCTTGTGGAATTTCAGGCAGTGTCCGGAAACGATCATAGCTTATTTCTGACTGAGAAGGGTGCTGTCTATGCTTTAGGTACGGGAAGGTAGGTACAGCATTCAAAATA